CCGTTTTTTTTTTTTTTTTGGTTAAAAAAGATGGCTGCCCCCCCCCCGCTTTCCTTTCCAGCCGCTTGAGCTGGCATGGGCTTCGGGGCGGCCAGGGGAAGCGGTTCCCCGTCTCCTCTGAGCTGAGGGCTGCCGGGGGAGCCCCCGAAGCCGAGTCTAACCGAACAAGCCTCAAAGGCTTAGAGGCTGGCCTAGCGCAGGGGTGGGGGGAAAAGAACTGATATTTGGGGCCAGGGTTTCTCCCGCCAGCAGCACATCCGGCAGGACGCAAGGAGAAGCAAAACACCCCTTTTCCTCCAAAAGCTGAAGCTGAGATCTCTTGCCGCCGCGATTCTGGAGAAATTTTTGTCTCTCGTAGGCAGCGCTTTCTGCCTGAGAGCAACCAGGTGCTCAGCCTCCTGTCGGAAGCCTCGCAGAGCTTTGGGGAGAAAGCCGTTGCCATTTTTGGCAACACGTAACCGTCCTGCTGGAGATGCACGCTTCTCCGTTGTCTTAGGAAGAAAGCTGCTGGAAAGAGATGGTTTCTCTGCCACCTCGTAGCCTGAGGAAGTGTGGCTGTCATGCCTGGCACCAGCAAAGTCACTTGCTACTAAAACTCCAGGCTTGGTGGGAGGAGGCGGGGGGAGAACAGGCCCTGCTGGCGTGAGGTTGCCCAAGGCAGAAGCAGAAACTCCAACAACTTCTCTTCCAACGGCAGAGAGCCAAGGCCGGAGAAACCGGCAAGAATTGGCTAAGCCCACAGCCCTGCGTGTCTTGAAGTCGAGCGTCTTCAAAGTCTGCTCTTCCCACTGCAGGCCACAACAGCTGCCAGGCCAGGTTTGATCCTCTCAGCTCTTGGCAGCCCTCAACTTGAAATTCCAGCAAAAGAAATTTTTCAAGTTGCTATTATTGCCTGTCACAGATTTATAAATATTGTGCACTCTGTACCGTGGCGCAGCTCCCTGGGGACGCCAGCACATGCCAAAAGCGAAGCAAAGCGGGGGGGGGAACAGTTCCTCGCCTTCAAATAAATGCTAATTTCTTTAACAGCGCTCACACAAGCCTTTTGGTGAGCAGCTTCAGTAGTACGGAATATATAGGGGGGGGGGGATGGCTGATTGTCTTTTCCAGCAATATTCAGCTGCTGCTTTCATTAAGTTTTTTTAATTAGATTCCAGATGCTAATTTGCAAGTGGAAACCAGAGGGTGCAGGACAGTGTGCCTTTGAATTGCTTCCCTGTGATGTGATGTGACTTTAGAAGAAACCGCTGCCCTTTCTGAGCGCCATCAAAATCGCCTGACAATTAGCACGGAAAGGCCCGTCTTCATCTTGACCGAATTTATGGAGGTGGCTTTGCATCTATTTTAATGGAGGCAGGACTCAATTTCTCCCCTGGTGACGAATTTCACACTGCGCGCTGGGGGGGTGGCAAGGGGGGGGGCGATCAAGATCTGCCCAGGTTGCTCAGCCCTTTCAACCCAAGGGGTTCTGCAGGAACAGATAAGGATTGCGGCAAAGAACGGACGGGAGGAAAGGGCCAGGCGCTGTTCAGAAACATGCCCGTGGCTCAGAAGATGCTCCCTCCAATATTTTAACCAACACTGGGAAATTCTCCCTCTCCTATTACTGCAAACTGGCCATAAACCATCATGAAGGACCAAAGAGCTGCTCCAGTTACGCAACAAAATGTTTGGGGTGTGGGAGGGGTGAGAGTTACCTCCATGTCAGGTTTGAACTTGTCCTCGAAGACGGCCATGGCTGCCAGCGCTCCAGAACCTGAAATCCACCAAGAGAAGAGGAGAGCTGTGAGTCTGGAGAGGTTTTTCCCCCACTTACTCTCCTATATATATATTTATATTTAAAAGAAGGAATGATGGCAACACAGAACCACACAACACAGATTTTCAAAGGAGAATCCTACTGCTTATTTAAAGGCAGGACCAAGGTGTTTCAACTGGAGAGGGCGAATAACACACAGCCTTACTCTGGAGCGGTGCTTGGCCAACATCGGCAGGCCCAAAACGAACAGACTCCCAAATCCCAACTGAGGTACACTGGGGGTCCTCCAAAGGAAGGAAGTCAAAATCCCATCGGGAGCAGCCGAGCCCTCCAGCACATCTACGGCAGACCTTTAAATCCTGCGTTAGGCTCTTAGTGGGTCAGGATTTGTGGTTTGACAGTGTTAAGGCAGCCATTGCTAGTGGCTTTTGAGGGAAGGCAAGTGAGAGCTTTAAACCCATTTAAGCCAGCAGAAGAAACACGCAGTTTGTTTATTAAATTTATATGCCATCCATCTCCCCCAGAGGGTGACTTCTGGGCAGCTCACAATTAAAATCAAGCCTCAAAAACGGTTAAAAATATAAATATCCACAATAATTTAGCTAAATTAATGTCCAGTTTAAAGATAAATTTAGTTAAATCAAAGTTTATGAGGGATCCCAGTGGAGATGGCTTCGCCTTTTGCCTTCTGAGCAACAAAGCCGGAAAGGCCCAAAGGGTGAGGGTGGGCTACACGGGAGGCTCTCCCCATCGTGTCTCTGTCTGCTTCAAGGAACGTTCCAAAATGGTGCCAACAGAGGCCTCCCCTCTCCCAAAGTCACCCTGAGGTGCACATGTTCACGCACACCGTCAGCAAGCAGACATTTTAAAAAATCGGTAAAGAATCGTTCAGCCACCTTAGTCCTGCTTCATTCAAAAAAAAAAAAAGACCTAATCTGCCT